TATTGTGTTAGAATACGAGAATGACTAGAAACAAGAGAGAACAAGAAAGATATAGGGTTCGAGTTGAACGCTCTAAGAACACACACCTATCTAGCCTATAACTTCTACATGCAAATATATGTATAAGTTGACACACCCCCTAGGCTAGATAAGGGGTAGTGCTGAGCAAGAAGCACACAGCTCAAGGTGGCACCTCTAGTCCAACCTCTGAGACAAGGGTCCGACGACCAGTCAGCAAGAGTACAAACAAGACAGGAGCAAACCAAAGCGGCACTACTAGTCCGGCCACTGGAAGAGAAGCCACAAAGCCAGTTTGAAAGACATATATAAAGAGGAGTACACAATCCAGTTCCTAGCAAGTGAGAGTCTACAGGAACAAGACCAAGCTGCAAACAGTGCCGCTGATGATCTTTAGGCGCAAGCGCCTTAGTAAAGATATCAGTTGTGTTGGCACCGGAGGCCAATTGTACTACGCGGGCCTGGCGACGCTGCTGTAGCTCGCGCAGGGGGAAGTACCGCAGCTGGATTTGCTTCGCTCTGCCCTCAAGTCGAGGCTCCTGGCACAGGAGGATCATGGCCCTATTGTCAGCGTATAGAATCGAGGCCAAGCTAGGCCGCTCACCTAGGTCGGTGAGCAAGAACGTCAGCCAGCGGAGCTCCTGTGCCACCATGGCATGGCGTCTCTGTGCCTAGTAAGGACCACTGGCCCGCGTCCTCCCAGCACTAGCCCCATGTCCGATGTACTTGCTAGATAACGCAAAACCCTCTTAGCGGCCGACCAGTGCTGTGGTCAGTGTCTGCCTGTGGCAACAAAGCGAGCCAGAATGCTGGGAGGGTATGCAAGATCTGGACGAGTGCAAGTCATCAGGTACATGAGGCAACCCACCAGCTCTACGTAAAGACCACTGGGCTCTACTGACTCCTTAGGAACTGGAACAGAGAGCCTGTGGTGTACTGGCAGAGGTGTGGGCTGTGCGGAGGAGAACTGAAGGCCGAGCCTCTGAAGGACCTGGAGCACCAAGTGTGACTGTGAAAGAGTGATGGTGCGCGCTGCTATGTCCCAGGAGATCTGCAGGCCAAGGTAGCGGTGCAACTCTCCTAGGTCATTGCAGGTGTGTCTCCTCAGCAGCTCGGCCTTCATGGAGGCCAGTGCGTCTGTGTCTGCAGAAGCAAAGACCAGGTCGTCTATATAATCAAAGCTGTAGAACGGGGTCTGGCTAGCACAAACGAAGAGCGAATGGTCGGCCGAGGACGGAAAGAACTGCAGGTCAGCTAGCGTAGCACGCAACGTACCGTTGTCATCTTCGGGGTCAGGGCGAGGGTCTGAAAGAAGTCCACCCCCTCGCGCTGGCTGAAACCTTTAGCCACATAGAACGCCTAGAACACAGGCGGCTCTCCGGGGGGGCGCTTCACCTTGAAGATCCACCGGCCAACGACTACGTTCACCCCAGGTGGGGGAACTGCGTCGACGTAGGTACCAGTGGATCTCCAAGATGCCATCTCCTACTCCATGGCAGCTATCCACTGAGAGGCACAGGGTCCCGAGGTCGCCTCAGCGTAAGTGCGAGGGGTCGGGATGTCAAAGGCGTTTGGGTCACCCTCATGGTTTAGAAGCATGGAACAGAGATGGGGAGCAGCCTCAGATAGGAAAGAAAACTCGTACTCTCTGTCCTCTAGGACATCACTGACAATGGCAGGTGCACCCTTGACGGACGGAGGACAGACAGGGTCAAAGACCAGAGCGGTGGCGTAGTCAAGGCGGCGGAAAGAGGCAATGTCAGCGACGGCAGCGACAAGAGCGTCAAGACTCGAGACAGGGACAGACGGGTTGGTAACGAGGGAGGCAAGGACCCGAGGAAAAACAAGACGAGCGGCACGAAGGTAGTCAGATAGAGGGGGAGGCGCGACAACAAGCGATGACAGAGGAGGCGAAGGCAGGCGGGGAGGATGAGACGCGTGGGAACAAAGCAACGTAGAGTGAGAATGCTGAATAGAAGAGACAGGACGAGCACGAGAGGGACGGCGAGAATTGACGTGAGACAGAGGCGTCCGGTCAGGAGACAGAGGAGGAGACATAAGAGGGGAACGAGGGGGAAGACAAGCGGGAGACGAGTCCGGCGGAAAGAATACAGGGCCGTAGACAGGAAGAGGAGGAGGCGGCAAGGAAGGCGCAGGCGAGCGGTCAGGGGAGGGAAGGCCGAGCAGGCGAAGGGTGGACACCGTCGGCGACTGCTGCTGCTGCGATTCGACGCCGACACTTGGACCGCCAGCGGCACTGCGACTTCCCCTGGAACACTCGACTCCAGCTCCCCCAAAACGAGCACCCCTAGAGCAAGAACCCCCTCTAGCACCAGTGCCACCCTTGAGCCCGCCGGGACAAGCCACTTTAGGAACCCAAGGACTAGCACCCTCCTAAACGCCAACACCCCCAGAGTCCACGAACGGCTGCTTCCACCGCAGCGGCAGCGGCTGCGGCGGCGGCGACCGCGACGCTGGAGGAGGAGACACCGGGGAAGAGACAGGCGGCAAGAACTGTGCCGCAGGGCCACCAGAGTTAGCTGACTCCTTGACCGGGACAACCGACGGGAGGGGAGTGACGTGAGACACATTTGACGGAGCACGACGGGGAGGAAGGTGAGCAAGGGCTACCGAGGGAGTGGGTACCAGAAACAGGGGAGGGGAAACCAGGAGACCTCGGTGGGGAAAGCGGTGGTAAAATGAGATAGACTCGTCGAAAGTAGCGTCACGGGAGTGAAAGAAGCGGTGAGACGGCGAGTGGTAGAAGTGCCAGTCAGACGAGTCAAGGGGAAAACCTAGGAACACACAGGGGACAGTGCGGGTAGTGAGCTTGTTCGTGCCAGAGGCACGAACGTGAGCAAGGCAGCCCCAAACGTGGAACGCAGACACGGTCACCAGGGAACCTGGTCCAAAGAAGGGTCGGCGAAACGTGTGGCCGCTGGGAGCGTGGCCAGAGGTTAAGCTGGTGAGCGGTCTAGCGAACGGCGAACGGCCATAGAAAATGGGGTGCACCGGCATGAATCATGGAGGTACGAGTCACCTCCATGACCAAACCAATGCGCCGCTCAGCGACCCCATTCTGCTGCGGGGAGTCCGGTAAGGTGTACGACTGGGTGATGCCCTTTGCACGACAGAAATATCCAAGCCGACCAGAGGCGAACTCGTTGCCACGGTCTGAGTGGAAATACAGCATAGGGAGACCGCGGTGGAGGCACGCAACAATGACCCACAGGATAAGAACGTCAGGCACATCAGCCTTCTGCTCCAGGAAAAACACCGTGGTGTAGCATGTGTACTCATCGACATTCACGAGAAAGTAGCGCTCGCGGCGAGGTCCAGGGACGGGGGCTGGGCCCTAGAAGTCCAAGTGCAAGGTCAGGAGGGGTGCGTTTGCAGGGCGAAGCGATGAGGAGTGAGGAGCACGGCGCAGCCGGCCCTTAACGCAGGGCGTGCACCGCAGCGCAGGTGGGGGAGGGAGGGCAGGAAGCGATGCAGGGAGCCAATAGCTTCGCGTGGCTATACGCAGGGTGATTCTATTTTCTAGAAGGGTCTATTCCCTTGGTATAGGATAAACCTAGTTACCTGATGTACTTTGGAAGTATAAAAGCGCCTTGTACCTGTTGTGTGATGTCATCACATGCTATCACATTCTGTCTACCTCCCATCCCTTGTTTCAATTCGCATGTATGGTTTAACTGTGTGTGAAAGAATTTGTGGGGTGTGTGTTCTGGAGTTTGGGAATGTGTTTCGTGTTATTTTGTTTGAGCAGGTATTTGTGATGATAGATCTTGAGAAGATATTTCCGACGCAACAAGAATCGCTTCAATCGGAGCAAGAACGCAAAAGCTATGAAGATTCAAAGTTCATGAGCTTGCGTTACAATTGCGGCGGCTACTAAGTGAAGTTGTGGGGTGACTCTATATGGAGTTGGGACCTTTGGGGTTGGGGAAAATTGTCACTCTACTGTAACAACTGCAAACTGGTTGGGAACAACCAAGCTAGGTTGGCAAGGGTGGCCAACTTGGTTGGATGGGTTTGGAAGGGACAAATGTCAAAGTTGGAGTTCCTATAGGGAGGGAATCTTTGTGCTTATGGGGTTTCCTTGGTTGGGGACTCTCTTTGGACCTTCCCTCTCATCCCTCTCTTCCATCCCAACCTTTTCTCTTGCTTCTCTAATTCCTTATGAGATTCTTGAACGTTGATTGAACTTTTGAGATTGAGTTAAGTTCTCCTCCTACACCTTACCCCCAAATGCGTCGAAAGACATAGCGTCGCGAATACTCCATCATCGATATGATTCAAATTGAGAACGGTAGCTAAGATTACAAGCTATATCATATCCGATTTTCGCGACATTCTAACGGCTAGTTTTTCGTCGACGTTGTTTCTTGTGAAGACGACTTTTCTGTCCAGAATTTTGGATTTATATTTTGAGTAATTCTAGCTCCTAAGTTCACCTAGACTCCGTCCTTAATCCTAACAAGTGGTATCAGAGCGATATTGAGGACATTGAGAGGATTCTATAGAAGTGTGAAGACCCTTCTAGACCCACCATGGCCTGTGGGTGTGCCTAAGTGGTGTTCTAAATATTGGATGTGTCTTCCGCTAAGGGGAAACTCTGCCGAAATTTCGTGGACGCCGACACTTGTGAAAATATCGAGGGAGCTGAGTGTGGACAGCAAAGGGGAGCTGAAATTCGTCATTTCTTAAGGAGAAGATGAATGAGAGGGGAGGAGATGCTAATGGAAGAGGAGTTGTACCTGAGAAGACAAGTGAGCCGCCACCATCAAAAGTTGAAGCTTTGGATGGCTCCAACTATGAGGAATGGAGCGGGCGGATGAGGAGTGCCTTCAAACGCTACAAGCTACTGAAGATTGCTGTTGGGGAGGAGAAGATGCCGGAAGAAGGCGAAGCACGTGAACGGTGGATTGAGAAAAGCGCGGTGCTTTTCAACCTCATCCTTCAATCGGTCAACAAGGAAATGTTCGAGCACATCAAGGATCTTGTGGAAGCAGATGATTCGGGTCCAAGGGCGTGGAAACTACTACGCGATGTGATTCAGCCCAACACTCTCCCGATGGTGATCGTGTCGGGATACAGCCCAACACTCTCCCAACAGTACAGGGGGCCTGTATCATGGTTGTCCCCGGTAATACCCTGAGGCCTCAGGGCTTGGCGGATCAGAACACTCTGAAATAACAGGCCCCTATACAACAGACTCTGAAATTTCAGGTAAAAAAAAATGAATACCTTAAAATCTCAAGGCCCAAGAACATACCACACCCTAAAAAGTAGGCTTTCAAGGTGTTTTACCCTGATATCTGAGGGCCTGGGGTGGGCGGACCTAACCTACTATGATACCATGTTAGAATACGAGAATGACTAGAAACAAGAAAGATATATAGGGTTGGAGTTGTTCCCTCTAAGAACACACACCTATCTAATCTATAACTTTTACATGCAAATATATGTTTAAGTTGATATATTGTACCCAGAAGTTTTAGTTTTTTATTGTGATTCCTTGTGGTTCGAATGTCACCTCACCCAACCTAAATTATACTTACGCTTGATGCCCCTTTCCGCTCTGGCTATATGAATAGGGGGTTTCGTCGCTCCTACAATCAACATCTCCTTTTGTAGCGAAACGGAGATGTTCGAGACGCGTATCTTATCCTGGAGCGATTCCCTTCTGGATTGCGCATGTGTGTCTTGTTTGATCCCCCAAGTATCGAGCCGCCGATAGTTCTGTCAGGTTATCCCGTGGTTACCAGCAGCCATGGCAACGTTCATCGCCGTGCAACGAGGCCCACAAGTCTCGCCATCGCTCTCTAAGTCGTGCCTCACACCGCACGCATCCCGCCTGTCGTGTTGCGTCGCCTTAGCCTCCGCGCGATCACCTGCGATCAGATGTCGCACCCAATCGCAGCGAGCCTTTTCCTCGCCACAGCCACAGCCGGCTCGGACGTCGAGGCGCTCTGTGCTAGCGGCGGCAGCGGCGGAGGGAAGGGCCGCGGGGAAGGATGGGGGGGAAGCGACGACGGGGTCGGAGGGCGAGCTGTCGGCGGAGGAGGCGCAGGATCTGCGCGACATCCAGGACATCCTCGAGGTGACGCGGGGGCGCCGCGGGCTTAAGCGCAGTCGAGATGTCTAGGAGGCGAGTCGAACTCCGTCAAGGGAATTTGCGACATTCGCGTAGCTGCGATTGTAGAAAGCGAGGTTGGCGAATGCACGTGCGTGCGCGAGTGCAGATTCTTTTTAGCTTTTTTTCGCGGCGCCGCCAGCTGAGAGGCTTCACTTCCAGTTGCCTTGTGACTCGCGCCCTAACTCCCAGCCCTTGCGGTCGTGTCGTTGCGTTGTGCATTGTGCCTTGGTGCGTGGTGGGCGGCAGACCATCGAGCTGCTCAAGGAGCGCCGGGACATGACGGTGCAGGAGGTGCGTGCGCACTCCAACCCACCCTCCCTGTACCCGTCATCGTCTGTCAGTGTCCGTCACTGTCCGTCACTGTCCGTCACTGTCCGTCACCTTTCGTCATTCCCCTCCCTCGCCGCCCATCCGTGGTCGCATTGCTCGAATCCCGCCCGCCGCGCCCCTCGCGCTGCCCACCTGCGCTCCCACTGACACCCGCACATCCGTGCGCCCACTGTGGGCGTCCTTCCCGCCCTTCCCGCCCTTCCCGCCCTTCCCGCCCTTCCTGTCCGCCCTGCCCGTGCTGCCCGCCCTGCCCCTCCCGCCCTTAGATCCGGCTGGTGCTGATGATCGAGGACCCGCGCGAGGCGGAGCGGCGGCGGCAGATGGGCATCGAGAACGAGAGCGGGTGCTCCCGGGACGAGATCGCCGACGCCTTCCTCGAGGTGCGCGTCATGGGGGGGGGCGGAGGGAGGGGGGGGGGAGAGAGAATTGGGAAGGGGGTTTGCCTCCTCGATGGAGGGGAGGGGGGGAAAGGGAGAGGGAAGAGGGGGGAGGGACTGGGGGCGGGAAGAGGGGAGTGGCATGACAAGGGAGGGGTGCTTTCTGACGGGGCTGAACGGCCGTGGCTGGCCGGATGTCCGTGCTGTGCCACGCCCCCGCGTACCTCCCACCATCCCTCACCTCACGCCTCACCGCACGCCTCACCTCACCCCTCCCCCCCCCTCTCCCCCTTCCACACCCCTTCTCACATCCTCCCCAACGATGCCCGCCCGCCACCTATCACCCCTTTTCTCACCCCTCCCCTGACTCCTCCGCTCACTCGTCCCTCTCCCGTCTCCTCACCCCTTCCCTCACTCACCCCTTCATCCCCTCATCTTCCCGCCCCTCACTGTGTCGCCGCATTCCCTTCCATGCTCTGTGCTCCCTATTTCCCCCCTCCCCTCCGCCCACTCTTTCCCCCCCTCCCTTCCCCTCTGCCCCCTTTCTCCCCCCAATCCGCCCCCAGGTGTGTGAGGATCGCGTGCCGGCGGACCGCATGGTGCTGAGGAAGCTGGCGCAGGACATGCGCGAGTGGCCCCGGCTCAGGGTGAGAGGGGATTGCTGGGGGTGAGAGGGGGGGGGGGGGGTTGCTTGGTTGCAGGAAGGGCGGGGATGAGGGGAAGCTGGTGCAGGACATGCGCAAGTGGCCCCGGCTCAGGGTGAGACGGGGGCCAGATGAGGGGGTTAGGGGAGATGAGGGGGAATGAGGGGGGCTAAGGGAAGGTGAGGGGGGCTAAGGGGGGTGGGGTGAATGGGCAAGGGGCGAAGATGGCAAGGTATAAGGTTCAGTGGAAGAAAGGTGTGGGATCTGTGCACCACACACCCTCCACCCCATTCCTACACCACCCCTTCCTTTCCTCTACTTCACCACAGCGTCAGCCCACGTGCCTTACCACTTGCATATCACTCGCTGTATGACTTGCCGCCACAGTACCACCCCATGCATGCCGTCCTTATCTGTGTCTCCGTCCATCCACCACCCTCCCCCACCCATGTTCCCCTCCCTTTGTCTCCCTCCCTCTGTCCCCTTCCGCCCTATACCCCCTCCCCCCTCTTCCCTCTCCCCTCTCCCCCACGCCCCCTCCCACCCCCCACACCCCCCCCCTCCCCTCCTCCCCCCGCAGGAGGAGCCAGCCCCCGAGGACGCAGTGGGAGCGGGCGGGGGCCGTGCGTCGCCGTACGCGCAGATCACGGACGTGGGGCTGCAGGGCGGTGCAGCCGCCAACCGCCCCGCCTCGCCTTTCTCCCCTCCGGCCACGGCAGCGGGCGTGGGGGCGTCGTCCTCGGCGAGCGAGTGGGACGCGGTGGTGGAGCGCGTGGCCAAGGCGGCGGAGAAGCAGGCGGACGAGGAGAAGGACCTCAGCAGCAAAGTGCCGCCCTGGGTGGTACTTGCACAACCAGCCTCTGAACCCTCTCTCTTTCACACTTGCTTCTCTGTGTGTGATCCTATATTTCGTGATGCGTTGCTGTCCTTGGTTCCTCACCACCCTCTTCAACAACAGCTTCTGGTAACCGCTTGTGTGTGGCGCGTGTTGTCATCACGAATTCATGCTTGTGGTTGTCCTCTCGGAATCACTCACTTCACTTCTGCCATCCCCATGTGCGGTGTGTGGCGTGCAGGGCTACAGTGTGCTGTACGGCATCAGCATCGTGCCCATCATCATCGGAGTCATCGTCGTTGTCATCCTCTTCCTCAACTCACTGCAGTAGCACATCTCGTTGCGGCGCCCTCTACACCTCTAGTACTGTTTTGCCCTCGCACTCTCAAAGCAACTCAATTACCAATAAGTTCCTGTAACTGAAGCAGTAGGTTAGGCTAGGTGGGTGGGTGGGTGGTCTATCCGTTTGTGCCCTCTTCTCTTGCTGCTTAACATCTACCCCTCCCAAGTTTCTGGTGTTTATCAATTTCTTTGCTGTGCGCCATGGTCAGGCTGTCAAAGTGAGAAACGAATGATTACTAGAAGTGGAAACCTAGAACAAATACTAGTTGGCTGTACTCACTAGAAGCATACCTCAGTCAAGCCTATAACTTCTACATAGATAATATGTATAAGTTGACACCCCCTAGGCTAGACAAGGGGTGAAACTAAACAAGAAGCAAACAGCTCAGGGCGGCACTACTAGTCCAACCACTGAGGCAGGGGTCTGGAGACCAGTCAGCAAGAATACAACCAAAACTGAAGCAAGCCAGGGTGGCACTACTAGTCCAGCCACCGGAGGTACGGCCACAAGGCCAGTCTGACAAGCATATATAATAGAGAGTACACAATCAGGATCCTAACAGGGGAGCAGCTACAGGAACAAGACCAAGCTGTACACAGTGCCGCTGATGATCTTTAGGCGCAAGCGCCTTAGTAAAGATATCAGCTGTGTTGGCACCTGAGGCCAAGTGAACTACGCGGGCCTGGCGGCGCTGCTGTAGCTCGCGCAGGAGGAAGTACCGCAGCTGGATATGCTTCGCTCTGCCCTCAAGCCGAGGCTCCTGACACAGGAGTATCATGGCCCTGTTGTCAGCATACAGGACCGGGGCAGAGCTAGGCTGCTCACCTAAGTCTGTGAGCAAGAAGGTTAGCCAGCGGAGCTCCTGTGCCGCCATGGCACCAGCGTAGATCTCAGCCTCACAGCTAGACTGAGCCACAGACGACGAACGAGTGGATCTCCAAGAGATAGCACCCGAACCAAGGCTGAAACGGTAGCCCTGCGACGACCTGAGCGTCTCAGAGTCGTCTGCCCAAGAGGCATCTGTGTGCCCAGTAAGGACCACTGGCCTGCGTCCTCCTAGCACTAACCCCATGCCTGATGTACTAGCAAGATAACGCAAAACCCTCTTAGCGGCAGACCAGTGCTGAGGTCGGTGTCTGCCTGTAGCCACAAAGCGAGCCAGGATGCTGAGAGGGTATGCGAGATCTGGGCGAGTGCAAGTCATCAGGTACATGAGGCAACCCACCAGCTCTGCGTAGGGGCCACTGGGCTCTACTGGCTCCTCAGGAACGGGAGCAGAGAGCCCGTGGTCTACGGGTAGAGGTGTGGGCTGTGCGGAGGAGAACTGAAGACCGAACCTCTGAAGGACCTGACGCACCAAGTGTGACTGGGTCAGAGTGATGGTGCATGCTGCTCTGTCCCTAGAGATCTGCAGGCCAAGATAGCGACGCAGCTCTCCAAGGTCAGTGCAGGTGTGTCTCTTCAGCAGCTCAGCCTTCACAGAGGCCAGTGCGTCCCTGTCAGGAGTAGCGAAGACCAGGTCGTCTACGTAGACAAGGATGTAGAACGGAGTCTGGCCGGAACACACAAACAGTGAAGGGTCAGCAGAGGACGGAAAGAACTGCAGGTCTGCTAACGTGGCACGTAGCGTGTCGTGCCACTCGCAGGGAGCCTGACGCAGGCCGTAGACCGGGCGCCTGAGAAGCCACTGGGTCCCAGGAGGGAAGGTACCAATGAAGCCCTGTGGTCGGCGCAGGTAGACCTGCTCGTGTAGGCTGCCCTGAAGAAAGGCAGTAGAGAAGTCGAGGGAGTGAAGCTCGTAGTCACGCTGTGCTGCTACGTGTAGCAGCGCCCGAAGAGTGGTCATCTTCGGGGTCGGGGCGAAGGTCTGGAAGAAGTCCAACCCCCTCGCGCTGACTGAAACCTCTGGCCACGTAGCGCGCCTTGAAGACAGGCGGCTCTCCAGGGGGGCGCTTCACCTTGAAGAGCCACCGACCATCGACTACGTTCACCCCAGGCGGGGGAACTACGTCGACGTAAGTGCCGGTGGACCTCCAAGATGCCATCTCCTGCTCCATGGCAGCTATCCACTGAGAGGCCCAAGGTCCCGAGGTGGCCTCAGCATAGGTGCGAGGGCTCGGGATGTCGAAGGCGTCTGGGTCACCCTCAGGGACTAGCAGCATGGAGCAGAGATGGGGAGAAGCCTCGGAAAGGAAAGCCAGCTCGTACTGCCTGTCCTCTAGGACGTCACTGCCAAGGGCAGGAGCACCCCCGACGGACGGAGGACGGGCAGGGTCAGAGACCAGAGCGGTAGCGTAGTCAAGGCGGCGGGTAGAGGCGAAGGCAGCGACAGCAGCGACAAGCGCGTCAAGGCGCGAGACAGGAACAGCAGGGTCGGTAACAAGAGAGGCAAGGACCCGAGGGACAAGGGGACGAGCAGCACGGAGGTAGTCAGAGAACGGAGGAGGTGCAACAGCAAGGGACGAGGGAGGAGGGGACGGGAGGAGGGGAGGACGAGACGAGCGGGAACGGAGCAACATAGGGTGGGTGGGCAGGACAGGAGAGACGGGACGAGCACGGGAGGGACGGCGAGCCCAAACGTGAGACGGAGGTGTAGGGTCAGGGGACAGCGGAGGAGACACAGGAGGGGAACGAGAAGGAAGACGGGCCGGAGACGAGTCCGGCGGCGGGAACACAGGACCGTAGACAGGAAGCTCAGCAGGCGGTGGGGGAGACACCGGCGCGCGGTCCGGGGAGGGAAGGCCGAGCAGGCGGAGAGCGGAGACCGGCGGCGACGGCTGCTGTGGCGGCGACGACGGCTGGGCCGGAACTCTCGGACCAGCAGAGGCGGAACGACCGTCGGCAGATCACTCAACAGCAGCACCCCCAGAACCAACACCCTAAGAGCGAGAACCCCCTCCAACACCAGCGGCACCCCCAGAAGCCGCAGGACGAACACCCTCCTCCACACCAGCACCCCCAGGGGCCAAGAGCGGCGGCGGCAGTGGCGGCGACGGCTGCGGCGGCGGCGACAGCGGCGACGGCTGCGGCAGCGACGGCGGCGGCGGCGGCGACGGCTGCGGTGGCGACGACAGCGGCGACGGCTGCGGCAGCGACGGCGACGGCGGCGGCAGCGGGGTCGGCGACTGCGACAGTGGGGGCGGAGGCACCGGGGAAGGGGGACGCGGCAAGGACGGACCGGGGGTACCACCAGAGTCAGCAGACTCCTCAACGTGGACAACCGACGGGAGGGGAGTGACGTGAGAGACACCAGACGGGGCAGGACGAGGCGGGAGAGGGGCAGGGGCTACCTGGGGAGAGGGAGCAAGGAATAGGGGGGGGGCAACTGGGAGACCTCGGTGAGGGAAGCGGCGGTAGAAGGAGACGGACTCGTCAAAGGTGACGTCACGAGAGTGGAGGAAGCGGTGAGACGGCGGGTGGTAGAAAAGCCAGTCAGACGAGTCCAGGGGGAAACCGAGGAAGACACAGGGGACAGTGCGGGCAGTGAGCTTGTCCGTGCCAGAGGCACGAACGTGAGCAAGGCAGCCCCAGACGTGGAACGCAGACGCGTCACCGGGGGACCCGGTCCAAAGGAGGGTCGGCGAAACCTGCGGCCGCTGGGAGCGTGGCCACAGGTTAAGCTGGTGAGCAGCGTAGCGAACAGCGAACGGCCACAGAAAATGGGGGGCATCGGCATGGATCATGGAGGTACGGGCGACCTCCATGACCAAGCCGATGCGGCGCTCAGCAACCCCATTTTGCTGTGGCGAGTCCGGCAACGTGTACGACTGGGTGATGCCCTCCGCAGGACAGAACTGTCCAAGCCGACCAGAGGCGAACTCGCCGCCACGGTCGGAGTGGAGACACAACACGGGGAGACCGCGGTGGAGACGCGTAGCCACAACCCACGGGAGAAGAACGTCGGGCACGTTGGCCTTCCGCTCCAGGGGAAACACCGTGGTGTAGCGCGTGTAGTCGTCGACGAGCACAAGGAAGTAGCGCTCACCGCTCGGTCTGGGGACGGGGGCAGGGCCCCAAACGTCCAGGTGCAGGGTCTGAAGGGGGGCGGTAGCAGGACGCAGCGAGGAGGAGTGAGGAGCACGGCGGAGCCGACCCTCGACGCAAGGCGTGCACGGTGGCGCAGTCGAGGGAGGAAGGGCAGGGAGCGACGCGGGTAGACCTAAGACAAGACCGTGCTGGGACATGTGACGCAGACGTGGGAGAGCAGGGTGACCTAAGCGGTGGTGCCAGAGAAGGGAGGGGTGAGTGAGGGACGGACACGCGCAAGCAGCAGCGACCTGGGAGGACGCACCAACCGGGGGGGAAGCGGTGTCTAGGGTAAACAGACCGGACACCGGGTCCCGGGGGAACGTCGCAAGGGGGGAACCTGAGACAGCCTCAGAACAGACAGCGAACCGCTCATGCCCGGGGAACGTGGTGGTGACGCCGAGGTCCTGGAGACAGCCGACACCAACCAGGTTCCTGGAGAACGAGGGAACGTGGAGGCCAGTAAGGGAGCCCGAGGGAACTGCCGGACAGGGAAGGGACGTAGAACTGCGCGCGACGACAGGACCCGCAGAGGGGTCAGCGAGAGAGACAACTGCAGGTGCAGCAAGCGGTGTGAGCGTCGAACGGTCGCGGAAGAAGCAGGCAGAAGCACCGGAGTCGAGAGTGAAGGACAGCGACGCAGTGGCGGAGGCCGGGGACGGAGCCGGTGCAGCGACTAGACTAGGCAACCTAGGCAGTCCTACGCCTGACGCAGCAGGGGAGGCTAAGCTACACAGTGGTGCAACACCTAAACTAGAGTACATAGGGTAATAAGATCCAGCAAAACTAGAAGCGTCAGAATACAAAGCATGCAAAGCAGCACCTAGCTGATCCATGTCTAACTCAAAGATCGGCACGCCCTGGCGGAGCAGGCTGTGCCAGTCGGGAAGGTCCGGGGCCGGGCCAAAGCGACGACGAAAGAGATCGTCGAGGCGGCGGAAACAGCGGGCGGTCGGGTGCGGGCGGCGGCACAGAGTGCCGCGAAGAGGCCCGGTCTGAAGGTGGTACTGGCAGGTGACAGCACCGGAGCCGCCGGTAGATGCCAAGCTGCGCGGGCCGCCACCACGGCCACTACCTCCAGAGGTGCCGGGCCAACCAGGCGGGAGACGGGCCCACTGCTGCGGCGACTGCTGCTGGGACGGTGACTGCTGCTGGGGCGGCGGC